CTAGTAACACTCCTCTAACGATTTTATCTCCAGTCATATTCAGTTGCTCAGACAAAGAAACTAAGATAATTTGTGGTTTTGAGATAATTCGTGGTTTTGAGTCGAGAGTCGCGACCCAATACGTTGTCAAACTTTTTATTTAAAAAAAATATAGGACTTCACAGTGCGCTTATGTCAATACTAAATACAAATAAATGAACGCAGACACACTTTGATTGCACAAAGTCTGACGGGTGTTTTCTTGAGATGCCCGACATTGACGTCACGAATGTCTGGAGAAAGAGTATGTACCAAATGAATTCAAACCGAGCCCTAACATCAACAGGGCGATTGCAAACAATCACACTGGTGTTGCGTTCATTTCTGCACAAGTGCTAATAGTTTTGCACTTGCATTAAATTCTCTGTTCGCGGTTAACTTTTATTGCAGTTGCGAGAAACTAGCGGTTTCTTCATTATGTATCAATATCGTTAACAACCAAAAAATCTATTTGCAATATTTATATAAGACCACAAACGACCACCATGACCATGGTAAATTTATTTGAAGCTACTTAAAATTTATGTAGCCTACCTCGCTTAGCAATAAAATTAATTCTGGTTTCGATTTCGATTTATATTCTTATTTTCATCCCACGACCCACCGCCACGAAGGTAATTAGTCAGCTATTAAGGTGCTGAGGGAAAAATTTGGAAGCAATTTTCGATTTTATGCATTAAAAGTCCGAGCACCACGAAAAAAATGTTCGCGGGCCACAGTTTGCCGACTGCTGCTGTCAATAGACGAACAATTCAACTATAATACACAATCTTCGTCATTCTATAAAATGAATTGACTATTCCTGCTCCTCATTATCTGACATCACAGCAATAATTGATTTGATACCACCTCGGAACACCACGATTTTTTATCGAGGATAAATAATGCACAACAGCGTTGTTGTGCCTTTTTCCATATCTTCTTCTGACGAAGTTTTATCTGTTATCCTATTATCCCCATTTTTAGATTTTTACGTCGTGATAATTTTTTCCTTTTTCTGCTCTATATATATACGATAGTGTGCTTTCCATATCATGCACGCCCTGATGAAGTTTTTCTGATTAGAAATCCAAAAGTCGTCAAATTTTATCGTTTTGCAAACACTGGTTGTGCTTTTATTTATCCTCGACGTGAATATACCAATGATATTTCTATTGCTATAATATTTCCTAGTCGAAGCGATGAACGGACTTTCCGCAAAATATGTTGTTTACCATCCATCAACCATAAGGTCGTTTTTGTTTGCACTGTAAATATTATGAAAAGTTCCCCGAATACAAAATGCGTATCAGTGCAAACTATCATATGATTCGGGGCAAATAAGTCGAGAGGGTCGAGCATATTTTTATTTGTGCAAAAACCTCATTATTCTGGTCGTTAAATCAAAAATGACGAAAGTGTTGCAATAACTGAACAAATTTAGAAACAAAATTTTACAAAAGTTTTTTTTTTTGCTCTGTGGGAAGCGACACATTGACGCCGATATTGCAACATATCAAAATATTAAAAAAAAAATGGTCACGCGGCCGCGATCACAAAAACAAAACGAATCCCATTATTCTGGTCGTTAAATCATATGCAAAAATGACGACAGTGTTGCAATAACTGAACAAATTTTGAAATGAAATTTTACAAACGATTTTTTGCTTGACGCATTGATGGTGTAATATATCAAAATATTTGAAAAAATCGCCACGAAGCCACGATCACAATAACTCTACCGCAAATTATGCGCTTCTAAACACAAATGCTGCTAACAGAATATAATTTCATTTTGGGGCGTCAAGGCGTGTCTCAAAATAATTGTCATATGCCATTAGTTGGCCAACAGTTTATTTATTGAAGATATTCTGAGACCCGCGACAAAAGTTTATATTAAATATTTGACACCAAGAATTGTATGAACAATAAAACTAAACTTTGTTCTTTCCAACTACTTTCCTTTCTAACAAAAGTCTACAAGCGCACAGCGGAACACAGATTGCCGTGTTTGACTAGCTCTCGACGCTGTTTATATGTTATAATATCAGTCGTACATTAGAACTTGAATATCCAATAAGATATCAAATCCCGCTCTTTGTTTTCAATGCAGAACAGCTAGTGACCTGCGATTTCCTCGGGTCAAGTATTGTAAATTTAATATCATTATTACATCACTATATGTATTTGATTTCCTTATTCGGTCATAAAACAAATATCAGTAAGGCTTCTGCTTTCAGTGGAAAGTTACAGCAACCCTCACGAACTTATGATAGAAATTATAGACAGTTTTAATTTATCATTGGGCCATATGCGAGAGCCCAAACAATCCTGTCGAGTAAAAATAACGTTTTCTTTCTAAACAATGGCTCCGTAAACTTCATAGAACCGTGATATTGCACGCGTCAGTGACACAGAAGTGTAAACGGATAACATGGGTGAAAGGGCTTGGTTGACACTCGATATTAACCAAAGTTTTTTGTGTATTTTGTTTGCTCAGTTTTTATATTGCGTGAATAAAATATGATTTTTTATTCAGAAGAAAGCATTTCGTAGGATTACATCATTGATTTTCAAGATTATGTTTGCCAACCGTCCCTCATTCATTTTTTTTTAAAATAACATATATAGTTCGCCTTTTTTTTAGTATTTTCATTTTCATACTTTTTTTACGGGCGCCTCTGCTCGATAATTTTGGTTTTCCGCGGCTCTCCTCACACTGAAATGCATTTTTCATAGTTTGTTGTAATTTGTATATATATCCAGTTCATTTTCAGTATAGTGTTTTGTTGTTTTGTTCAAAACGTTTTGTTGTTACTGTTTTATGTTGTTGTTCTTGTTAGCTATTCTTTCCTTCTACTTGTTGTGAAAAATCGAGTTTCAATTAAATACTGGACCACTGTGGGATCTATGGAATTTGTTTTTTTGCGTGCGATGAAATCACCTAAATAAAAAATGACATACCTTGTGGCGGTCCCACGGGTACCTTCGGATGTCGTGCAAGTTCGGATAAAGTTTTCTCTGAATCTGTTATCATATTTAATCGCGTTATCCATTTTATTTTTTGACTTAAAAAAATCAAAATTCAACAAAAAATGCGCCTTTTTTTCGAGCGGCTCAAATCGACTTATACCGACGCTAACTTCGTCAAAATATCATCATTCGATAGCGGTAAATATTTTTCAACGAGAAATCTATACTCAAATATATATGGACACGTAGCGCCACATAATTTTGATGACGTCATAGCAGGAAATGAAAGTAATAGCCTTCTGGAGAAAAATTCCATCTTCACCCACTGAAAATTTCAAAGCAATTGGTCCAGTAATCAAAGAGAAAAGCGATTTCTCCAAGACGTGTCAAAGAACAACAAGAACAAGAACAACATAACAACAAAACGATCGTTATGTCCACTAAACGTGTCCAATAAACAAGGAGACTGATTGCGCGAGACATTCGAAAAAATTCAAAATTCAAACAAATAAATTTCATGAAAACAATAGCACAGACTTCTTCGTGTAAGCTGCACAGATAAGCGAATAAACGAATGGGTTCTGAAAAAATTAAACCTCTATACAGATGCTTCAGGGAGCAATAAGCGACAGAAAACGTTTCCTGGGATTTATTGCAAGAACGGACGGTCTGATCAAAGGAAACGTGGACAAACCGAAACGAGGATGTCACAAAATGTTAAGGACATAGCGGATCTCAGCATGTACCAATTGTTCAAAATGTCGCAGATCGGTAGCAATGGCGTCGATTTGAGTCTGATCGCGGGATGTCACAAGAGACTCTAAAAAAACTTAACATCAAACAAATAAATTTTATGAAAATAGTAGCATCTCACGCACACGTTGAACTTGACGCCGCCCTGACGTTCAAGACTAGTCGCGACGTAACGTTGCGGTATGTTAGTCGTTGGTCGCAGTTACAGATTAGGACACCGACCAGTTGGCGTAGATTTGAAAATAGCAACGAAATTCTCTCATACGATGTTTGATTTGGTTCAAAATTGGTTAAATATTGTGGGTGGTACAGTTTGTTTTATCTGAGTAATGCTGAATAAATATAAATAACATAACCAGCAATAAATAAAAACAATCAATGTTGCAAGTGAGTCACGCGCAATGAATTTATCGAAAGCATTTCAGGAGTAATATGAAAAACTTATCCTATGGACCTTTCTCCGACCTTTGACCCCCGAATAATTCCTCCTATACTTTACCATTGCAAAGTTTTCGGGGCTATTTTAAAAGTGCTTTTGGGAGTTGGCGCCTTTAAAACGGGGTATGTGTTACAAACCATCATTATGATTCATCGCATACAACAACCGGTTTTTTAAAAATACCGGTAAAGAATTTTAGCCTAGTCTATCACAGCTATTTCTACACAAATTTTTTATTACTGCAATTGAATTAAAACTCCTAGGAAGACAGAGTGATCATTGAATTATCTGATTTATATTTAAGTTTCCAAAACACAACAAAAAACTAACGAATAGAGTTAAAAAACGCGAAAACGAGGTAATGTTTACGACCACGCTTGAAAATCTGTCTGAGTAAGAAAGTGTCTGAGCGGATGCGAAAAGGGGGCATTGTTACGTCACTTTTTGCATCTTGCTGATTGGCCAATGTCACGAAGTAAACAAGGAAGTGGATGCTCGGGAAAAGGTTCATCGCTCTCTTTTTTTTAATAAAAAAAATTAGCAGCCACATCTATGATAGCAGCCCCCCATGCCCTCTTGTTCATGCGTCAATATTACAAGGAACATCTAGTGAGTAAATTTCTGATTTTGCTGGAATTGTTGAGTAAAATTATGGGAATCAGTCGGGATTTCTTCAATCTAGTTTCCCGGAATAAATATGTATAATCTTATCCATGTTAGTCGTAGTCGTAGTATTTTAGTAGTTGATCCTATCCTATCCTAGTCCCCAAGCGTACCACATGTGCTATATGACCTATACCCTATGACTGTCGACCTTTTGATACGCATGATTTCACATTTGATTGACATGCTGTTTTGAGCGCTGCTATGAGAAAAGAAATTTTACCCAGAAACGTTTGGAAAATGATGGATTTAGGCGGAGTTTCTCGCATACTATTTCGAAATTTGCTGAACAGAAGTGCCACTTTACAGGTGAGCTAATTTTCTAGCATTTTTTGACTACAATAAATATTGAAAATGTTTAAAAACTGGAATATAATTTAAAGTTTTCTACAACACCAATTACAGAATTACCGTACTGAATCCTACCACAGTATCACTGTCTGACTGTACCAATTGAAAACTGCACTCATTCAAGTTATTTCAGTATTTCAAAGCATTACAAAATGATAGGCTACCTATTGCAGTATTGATAACAGGTGAATTTGTTTCCCTCGTGGTAAATGGGCCACACACTAAGCTAGGAAGGAGCTACATCCTCCAGATACTTGAACGTTCCTAATATATATATCTATATATTGGTGTGAATACTTTGTTTCTATATTTAATTTAAGCTTGCTATTTTTATATCTTTTTTTCATGCTGTGTTAGACCCTATGTAGGGTGACTATTTTGTTTCTATATTCTTATTTAATTTAAGCCTTCTGAAGTTCTAGTTTTATTTCATTTTTTTCATGCTGTGTTAGACCACTGAGGTGCACATCTCAATGTGTTAGACCAGTGTTCCCTAAACTATTTAGGCAGCTGCTGTTTGTGAATCCTATTTTTTACGGACCCCCATCCAATGCAAATCAATTTATGTGCCTAACCAACGAGGATGAATAATGTTTCACCTGGATTTAGAACACAACAATGCAAATGACATTAATGTGAAGAATCAATTTGTGACAAGAAAATTCATAGGTCCAACTCTATGGCAACGATTCCATACAGTTTTACGTATGTTTGGCCAAAATAGAACTCTGAAAGTCTGAATCCATACATACTAACGTTAAATATTAGTAGGCTAAGGGCAATGCGATAAAATTATGATCTATTTGCATCTCGATGTCCGGAGTGTCACTACTAATTGAACACGTGGAACTAATTTAATTGTGTATTCTTGGATAGTCTCACACAATTAACTTGTTTTCACGCTTCTTTCTTGCCACAACGGGGCTCAAATGACCTTTGCAAAGTCGCACGAGTTCTCGACTGGTGATAACTCAATAATACATACAGTCAATTATTACTGACCATGTAGCTCTGTGACGGAGGTCTTCCACACAGACGCAAGGATCGTCTTCATCTTGTTTACGAATGTCCATGTGACAGTGAAATATTTATATTTCAGACTCCTAATATCACTGCGGACCCCCTGTGTTTTCGCCGCGGACCCCTGTTTGGGAAACCCCCATCGAGGTGTCGCTGCTCGATAACCAGTACTGGTTTTTAAGCGATCCATTTTGTAAATGCTATTCTAATTTTATTCTACACGTATATGTAAGTTGCGTATTTTCAGCATTGGTGGAAAAATAAATTACTGATTACAGAGGTAGAAAAAATATCACCATCGGATTGAAATAAAGGACCTAATCCATCAGGAATAAAAATTTCTCATTTGGGCCCAATATTTTTGTATCCCTTAACAATTCTCAAGGCTGATGTGAAACTAAGTCATAACTCAAATATCTTGTAATGTAATCTAAAAAGTCAAACCATCTGGGACGAAACGTCCATGGGGCAAAAAAAATCTGTATACCATCATAGAAAAGTTGAATAAGTAACTTTGTAAATTTGCCATTTTGGCCTCCTGGCTACAATATCACTGTTAAAATTACGGCACACTCACAAATACCAGGACATTCATGGTATTTAGAACCATTAATTCAATCAATCAATTCATTTTGATACAAAATTGATGACCAGAGCTGCGAATTAAACTAAAACTAAGCGAACTAAAAATGCTAGGATTGGATTCCTTGAAAAAATACATCATTACATGCCAGACATCCATTTCATAGAATGATGAGATCTTGGAATCTGAAAACTGTGTCAAAAAGGCTGTAAAGAGTGTAACTGACAGTTATGGCATTATATCTTAAGCACAAGATTCTCTGCCAGATTTTCCCATTATCATAATTAAAAAAAATATTTTATAATTAAGGTTCATCAGCAATGCCGTTGTTATCTCCCGTACAAACTCCCAGACAACATGAAGAAAAGATTGGATCGACACAGAAAACCCTTCATTCCTGGGGAAACAACATCTGAAGAGTTACTTCAAGATTGGCAGAAAGAGCCAGAAAAAGTCGCAGAGTACAAGAGATTAGCTTGGGCAAAGTGAGTCTTCTAGGATAGGATTTACATATTTATTCTGGGATGATCAAAACCGAAAAGACGGATTAATCGTATGGCGAACCGCAGCCTCTTGTCTGGTTACCAGTCCATGTCAGGTATGCGAAGTTAGTAGTTGATTGTTTTCGGAAGCATGGACTTGATGGTCAAGGAAATCGCAACCGACCAGCAGTTACATGAACCACCCTACGGCGTCAATGAGTCTAGCAAATACAGAAAAGCTTTTACTGTTTACTTTTTTCTATTCACTATTTTTGTTATGTTGAAGGCATTCTTTCTTTTTTAAATTCATTTTTAATTTTCTCAATTGATAGCCTATACCACACAATACGGATGTCTAATAAGCTTTATTTTAATGGAATTATCGCTATTTGAAAATATTCATTTTAGAATTTTGATTTTCTAAGTAAAATGTACTACATGGTGCTAATGGTATACAGTGCTTTTTTTAAGTAGGTTAAAAAGATTAAGAAGTTAAAAAGAAATGCACTATAAATTAAAGATGATCATCAAACTTACTGGCAACTACTGAAATGCCAAGATTCGAATGATTTTTACACATATTTTAATGTCACATTTTGGATTAAAATTATCTAATGATCTCTTCCAATCTTTAACTCACCAGTTTAGTATATGAGTATATGACTTATTTTTATTATTTTTTACCTGTTTAGCTTACATTTAATTTATTGAAATTTCAAACAAACCACTTTTATTTTAGATTTGGTTCAGCATCAGGGGTTGATATTTCATCCATTTTACCGACTAAGAAAGATCTTGAAGAGGAATGGGAGGCGGAGAGAAGATGGTGGCCAACATTGGAAAATATGAAGAACAGGATGAAGATGAAACAAGAACAACATGCTGCTAAAAAGGCTGCATAGTAAGTGGTTAAGTTGTTGTGCGTTATGAAAGGCTCTGAATAAAATATTGCATTCATTATAATTCTACGAAACAGTATTGGGAGAGACTCGGTTGGAGTTGGAGTCACTATTTAGCCAAATTCATGTCACCTAAATGGAATGACATCGACTATATTAACTAGGGTAGGATTTACGTATTTATCCCGGCGAAGAAAAAAATCCAGATGACTTAATCATATGGCGAACCACTCTCTCATCAGATTAGCAGTTTTACCAGTGTCCATGTCGGGATAATTATTTGTTTCAGATGCACGAACTTGATGGTGGAGAAAGCCGTAACCGACCAGTGGTTATGTGAACCATCCTACAGTGTTGGGGAGTCAAGCAATTGACAACATGCTCCTAATCGAACAGTGCATTTATTCAATCTAAAAAGCTCATCTTTTAAACCACTGAGTGGCCTGATTTAAGCGAGCAGCAGCAATATAATTAGTCAATGCCCTGATTTATTCTTCATGATAATTGAATTAACTAACTATTGATGTTATTTCAGTGAAAAGAGAGTTGCTGAAAATATGGCGAAGATGCCAAAATGGATAGCTGAGTGGGAAGACCAACAAACAAAAGATGCAAATCGAGAATTAGCTAAAGCAGAGCAATATCAACAAAATATGGAAATGGCTTTAGAAAAAATGAATTACAAACTAGACCCTTCGTCAATGGAATTTAAAAAACTGTTTAAAGAACAACAATTACAAGATAAACTTGCGAAGAAAAAGTTACAAAAAGCTTAATTGGAGAGTGTAATATTGGCTTACGACAGAGGTTCCCAACCTTTTATAGTTTGTGGCCCCCCCCAGTGTTTTTTACCACTCCAATAATACGAGCAATGCAAGAATTGTGCATATTAATATAATTACGAGGCCTACATCACAGTTTTGTGAAACTGTCGTTAAAGGTGGATCGTTATTTGCAGGTAAGATGGCCAGCCAATCGCAAAGGTTAGGATAATGTTTTCCATTTGGATTCCGATTTCCATTTGGCTCCTGGCATTGTGGGCCCCCTGCAACTGCTCCGTACTCCCCTTGCCTGGTTGGGAACCACTGGCTTCAGGTGATATTGAGAACATGGTTTATCAAAATTTGGTGATAATGTCAGACTTTGGAGTGGGGACAATGTTTGTCAGATTTCTAGAAAATTAATTTTTAATAGCTCTATTCGGAAGGATTGTTATGTTATTTTTATTTTCCATGGTGAGATTTATCCAGAAATATCAAATATTCAAATCGGTTCTTAAATCTTACGCAATGAATATATATACCAATATTCGTTCACTTTTAAATAATTAACTAATTGTATTAGACATTTAAAGGTTTACTGTACTGAGTAAGCTGCTCCATTATTATGTGTAACTGACGGTGCCACCATAACTGTTAATTTCCCTGTATTTCTTGTGTATATTTTGAAGCCTGAAGTCCGCTTTACCATATTGGTTTAATTATACAACTGTTCTAATTGATTCTCTGTAATACTATTCGGCTAGCTATTGTAATTGATCAAAATTTTTATTATGATTTCCTATTTTGTTTTATAACATTTCATTTTTCATTTATAGCATTTGTTGTAGTTGTAACTTATAAACAGCTGAAATGAATTTTCAGAAAAGATAATTATTTATTCTGTTGATCTCTGGATTTCACATTGATGAACTGACATATTTCATATAAAAGTGAGTGACTGTTATTTCAAATTTTAGTTTTTGATTTACATGCAAATTGTAATGTGCATTAGTCTATGTCTGATCAGGGCTGGGGATTTAATATGAAATCACATTGATTTCGGCTTCAGTTTGGTGTGATGGATTGTGCCAAGCGTAAAGAATATGCTTGCCACAGCACCTCTGATTATCTTGCGTGGGTTTGCAGGTTTAAATCCCACTCTTTGCTGCCGTGCGGTGGTTCACTTAACTGCTGGCTACTCACGGCTTCCTCCACCATCAAGTCCATGCATCCGAAAACAAATACCTCTGCTAACTACGCTCATACCCGCCGTGGTTCGCCATATGATTGAGCTGTTTTGATGGCTTTCCTGATGTCCAGGATAAATATGTAATTCTGAAGCCTTTGACATTTTCGAATGTGACCACTATCATGAAACATCACGTCAAATGCGGTTTCATGGAACCTGGACTCAAAACTGGGATAAAAGAGTTTCAAATTTGGAACTAAACTTATATATATATATATATATATTTACCTAGGAAACATTTAAACTGATTAGAAAGAATAGATTTCATAACATCATTAGAAAATAAATATGAAAACAGAAGTTAATAGATTATTAGATTGTTATTCCTGGTAGTTCCAGCTCCATCTAATAGGGTAATCTCGGCTCCAGATCCCTGTCCCTGGGTCTGATGGCCCAGCGATTAATAAAGCACAATGCTAATCAAACTGCCATTGTAAGTGCCTAACTATTGCTAAAAATTGGCCACATCTTATTTTCCGAGCTGGCTTATTGCGGGAAAATATTGTACTTGTTAAAGAATATTTTGATTATGTATCGATCATTTTTTGAAGATTATATAACATAGAATTCAACTTGAATTGAAGTTTTCAAATAAAAATATTTTGTATTATCCTAATGTTGTTTTTTTTTCAGGTTTTTCTCTCTTTACCGCACAAAATCATCAAGACAACTCTGTTTTCATTCACACAAAGAAGAACGCATGAAAGAATGAAAAATGCGAAGAATGCAGCAATTAGTGACTCTGAAAAGTTTATCGGTAAGAGACTACTACCTTTTCATTCTTTTTCAAGTCAATATTTATTTTGAGAAATGCTATTGGTCAAAACTACAGCTGAACATTTTCATATACATTTTCATGGTACTAATTTTACTCGGTGTGATTTTATCGCGGATTTTAAAAAATGGTAATATTTCTAAAACAGAGCTAAGTCAGTGGAGCTAAGTCCAAGCAATAATAGATCAGATTTCACAAAACACGAATAAAAATAATCTGACACTTTATCGCACATTTTTATATCCGCGGAATGTGGTGATATTTTAGAGGAATAATGCTTATATTTTGTCAAGGCAACCGCGGGTTAAGTTGATAACAATAAAGCACGACATTTTAATGTGCCCGTACCAATACATTTTAAATATACTCGTATCGATAATAGGTATCAGAAGTAAGTAGCCTATATTCCGGCAGTTGATCTGACATTTTTATATCCGCAGATAGCTGTGGTATTTTAGAGCAGTGAATCCCGATTTAAGCTCGCAATGCCTTCCAATGCATCAAAATTTTCCGCGACCCCTGTTCACGTTAAAAATGCTATGATGACAGCATGATGATATGAATGATATGAATCGCGATGTTTTGCCACCGAAGGCATGGTCCTAATTCCGCATTGTTACTCACTCTTCAGCATTAATTATAAAATTCGACATTGTTATTTGTTAGCAAGCGTGTCGTTTCTCTGATCCTATGTATTATCTCAAAATCTCGAGATTTATGTTTTAAAATAGTTTTAATAATTGTGCTCTGAATAAAAGTTCCAACGAAATAAAATGAAGACAGTACTTGTTTTATTTAAATGTGTAATAAAATACAATAAAAACGCGCGATTGACTTTACTTAGTCCGACCTGCCACTGCATTTTGAATATTCAATGTGGCCCAATACCAAAAATAATTGCCCAGCCCTGATGTAGGGGGTGGTATATAGTTTGCTGTTAGCGATAAAACTATTCTTGAAAAGTGTATAAATTTGACTGACCATCTGTGCTTGTATATTCGCCACTCTCTGGATATTCAATTACAATTTTTAGTTCAAGTTTAGAATTGAAGTGTAGTGTCACACATCAGAATTTATTAGGGGACGGGTGGAGGGGAATAGGGATAAGGAGAAGAAGGTTTTCACCTCTAGAGGAGGTGTAGGGTAAGCACTCACTGAATTGTATAGTTAAGCAAGGTCATAGCATCTTATCAGTAATAGCAATTCTCATTTATCTACTTCTAATGCTACACCACCAATAGTTATGGATTGCATTAAATCAGTGTTACCCAACCTTTTTGGTTGACATCATTCCTTTGCCTATTTTGGAACCTTTTTATTCCTACCTCACCATGCATAAAAACTACTTTATTTGTTCAAACTTCAATTGTTCTCTAGCTAGGTTAATGAGCAAGTCACACCACTGTTTTTCCATGTATGTGTACATGAATAAGTATTATAGTAATAATAAAAAACAAAAAAATATCAGTAATAGAATAACAAATAAAGAGCAAGATTCCTAAAATCGACATTATTCATCCCGGGAGAAGAATCACCCTCCGTTTGGGCAATGTTGACTTAAATATTTCTCTTTAAAATGGCATTGTATCACGAGCATTCATAGCTATCATTATTTTATTCCATTTAAACATTATAAATCAAACCAGAAGCAAAAATTTGAAACAGGAATAAAAAGTTATGATATGTACGCTACATGTAAAATATGTGCAATAACAAAAAAAAAATAAATCAGCAAAAATTCAATTATTAAAATTGATATGGGATCGAAAGTGCTGTAAGATCTCTAACACTCTAACGGGTCAAGTTTAATAAGGAGACTGCGTTCAGGAAATCTTCTTTACATAAAGGCTGTTTTGAGAAAAGTACTCAATTTCTTTTCCAAAGACCATATCATACTGTTACGTTTAGTTATATTTTAATATGTAAAATATCCCAAATTAAAGTTTTTCAAAGAAATACAGGAGTGTCCATGAAGACTCTTTACAATTTCAATTTTGCTACGAATTCATTCTCAATATATCTTGATCATGTTTGTTGTTTTTTAATCAGTAATTGTTTTTAAATCATTTAATACATCTGTGAGGGCCAAAACAATATATGGTATCGATAAATTCCCTTTTCAATTACTTTGCCTGATGAAGCAAAGTAAGTAATTCGGTTAAAGTTCATGAAAAGAATGCTATCAATATTAATGCATTTGATGAAAGTCATCAACCAATTTATCAAATTGAGTGAAAATTAGCTTTACTGATTTTCAAAACTGACTGCAGATTTATGTCCATAATAAGGTTTTTCAGTTTAGGAAGAGTTGAATCTAAATTTGTGAAAAATTTTTACAGCTTTCTCCAATAGCAGAATGGGTACGCTATTTTGCTCAGCGTGAAATAAGTTTATTAACATTCTAGATACAATTGTAACATAAATTTATAATAAACAACATGAAAAGGGGGACAATAACATGCCTTTTTTCGTCAGTTTCCCCAAAACGATGTTCCCACACAGAATTTGGAATATCTTCGCTGTGATTATTTTTTTAAGAATTTGAAAACATACGAATAGTCCCAGTTTTCAGTTGTGGCAATCCCTAGCTGTAGACATGTCAAAGGGAGAGAAGACATTGAGCAAAGTTTAGGATAAATATGAGTAAAACTATATTGATAAAAATAGAGCCCGTATTGGTGCTTAACTGGAGAACATAGAAAAAACTGACACAATTTTTCTGTTTTGGCTCATTTTTTGTCGGTATATTGAAAAACCCTCATTCATAGGGCTAAAAATTGGCCTCTGCTTATTTGCTGAGTCGGCCTGTTAGCCAGAAAATACGTAAATATAACAAATAAAATCTGAATATTGTAATATAGAGACATAAAAAAGATGAACATTAGATTCTATAGTAAGATGAATTGGGAAAATCAGTAATGCAGCATATGATGTAGGCAGTGGTTTTTAAACTTTTTAAGCCAGGCTCCCTTTTTAGAATTTGTTATTAGAAGTCTCGCACTCTATCTCGAAAATAACTACGGTAACTAACAATAAGCTACAAATGACAGATAGCAAGGCTCCACACTAAGGATAATAAGGATACAAGCACAACAGCGCTATGCAATCTCTAAACCAGGGTGGTCCAAGGTTGTCGGCTCTGCGGGCCACAAATTTATTTTTTCATCGTTCGCGGGCCACAATAGTGCCAAGAATAGGTAAACAGTGCAATACAAAACAAACACTTTTATTGTGCAAACACATAGTTATCAGACATAGCCATCCCAGTCTAATAGAATCCGCATTCGATTTTTAGTTTTCTATGATGCCTATATTGTTGGCATATATTCCCGACCAAAAAGATAGAAAGCCAGATAATAATTTAGACTGCCAAGCACATCATTCAACTTCGCTATTTGCCTCGGCTACCCATAACACTGGTCAATTCAGGGACATTAGTGATGTAACAATATGTCAAAAGATTTTTCTGATTAATTTTATTAGTACGAAACAACACGAAATGCGATTTATTCATTACACTCCGAATGTGACGCGGGCCACAGATAATGAAGTGGCGGGCCACATGTGGCCACATATTTGTACACGCCTCCTTTTTGGTGCGCGCCCATCGTTTGAGAACCACTGATGTAGGATATGATTTCTATATTAATCCCGGCAAGAGGAAAGCCAATAAAATGAATAATATGACCATATTATGGCGAAACAGCCAAGCAGTCATGGGAACAGTTATTTGGAATGTGATGAAGTAATTTAGTGGACAGGGAAAGAGTTTTGTAAATTGATTCATAGATCATCAAGTTCATAGATTTCTG